GGACAAGCCCGTGAGAGCCTGAGGCCACCGTCCTGGGCCCGTTCCCTCCTCTCATGGAGGGGACAGGGGAGCAGCCAGGGAGTGGGTGCTGGCTCAGGTTAGGGTCCAGCCTGGCACCTGGGCCCAGGAGGGGGCTGAATCTCATGCCCAGCTGGGCTGTGGCAGCTCAGAGCCGGGCAGAGTCCTTAGACAAGAGGCAGGACCCCGGGCAGCCGTGAGCCGAGTCGCAGCGCTGAGCAGAGGGGCGGAGGGCACAGGGTCAGCGCTCAGCCGGACCCGTGGCTTGTCACAGGTTACCTAGGACGCTGGTATCCGTTCGTCTTTGTCACTGAGGGGTCTGGGACAACCCCACGGGGCCTTCATGTCCCTGCCATCAGCACGCTTCTGCTTCTGACACTGGACAAAGGAGTGCTTTGTTCTTGGAAGCGGGGTGGAGGGTGTGGAGACGTTAAAAACCCACTCCTTTTTTTTTTTTTTTTTCAGAAATAACATTTTCTTTTTTTTTTTTATTTTTTTCTTTTTTTTTTTTTTATTATTAGTTAAGGTATTACAAATGTGTAAAAACCCACTCTTTTTAAAGCATGGCTTGGAGGTAGATGAGAGGCGGGATCTTAGAGGGACTCTGGACTCAACTGTCTGGTTCACAGCCTCGCTCTGCTACTTATTAACATGAGACTTTGGGCAAGTTCCGTAACCTCTCTGGGCCTCAGTGTCCGCGTCTGTAACGGGCGGGGAACACCTGGCTCTCGGGCCTGGGAAATCATTTGGTCTGGCCCTGCCAAGGCATTAGGGGTGAGTGAATTAAATGTTTGATCAAATATAGCAGGCTGATTTTTAAGTTGATAATTTTATATGGCCCACGAATGATGTTATAAATATCCAAATGGCAGAAAAAAGGTCCCCACCCCTGCTGTATAACATGGGATGATGGTAGCAGCTTCTACCTAGAGTAGATGAGATCATCCAGACTCAATGCCTGTTAGCTCTTCTTATCACAACTCAGGGATGCAAATGTGGCCGGCTTGTCAAATGTGTAACCCCCGTTTGTAATCTGGTGTACGCTGTTATACCAGGTACACCTGAGCTCCGAGAGCCATGTGTTCATTCCGGAGTGGGGGTTTTTATCTTGGGGGACAGTCTGTGAAAGGCCAGTGATCCCCTGAAATTGTACAGGGCAGTGCCTAGACCCCTAATGGTAGGCTGGATAATGAAATTATTAATGAATACTCCCCCCCCCCCTCTCACACACACACACACACACACACACCCTCCTCCCAATCCAGAACCCGTGATTGTGTCACCTAATATGGTAAAGGCCTTTGCAGAGTCACATTATGTAAGAGGCAGGCAGGAGGGTCCCTCAGAGAGGAAGGATGGAGCCGAGGTCAGAATCAGAATGGAGCGCTTTGAAGCGGGGGAGGGGGGGGAGGAATGCAGGGGCCTCTGGGAGTTGAAGAGGCCAGGGGATGGGTTCCCCAACCCCTCTGGAAGGAATGCGGCCTGCCTACACCTGGCTTTTAGGCCTCTGACCTCCAGAACTGAAAGGAAATGACTTGACGTTGCTTTAAGCCACTATGTTTGTGGTCATTTGTCACAGCAGCACAGGAAACAGATAGAGCCCTTGTCAGGGGAGGGCCCGTAGTTTTCTTATGATGCAGGAAGGGAAGACTGGATATTGGGAACCACGAGCAGGCGACCTGGAATACCAGGCCGGTGAGCCGGCACCTCCTTCTCCCTCGCCCTCCAGCACAGGCGGAGAAGGAAAGATCCGGGTGCACTGTGCCCTGCAGGTGACATCGCACCTCAGCCGGCTCTCTCTGGCACACCTCCTATCTCTGGCGCACCCTCGGGAGGTCATTGCCTTTCCAGCACTTCGCTGGCCCCGATTGGCATTTATGGGTCAGAATGCAGAGAGGAAGGCCAGCTGAGAGGTGCCCTCTGGAGCCCCTGAGAAATCCTTGGCACCTCGGGAGTTTCACCGGGGCTTATCTATAGAGGATTGTCTGCAAGGGAAGTCAAAGGAGCCCTAGCTGGTGTGGCTCAGTGGATAGAGCGTCGGCCTGCGGACTGAAGGGTCCCGGGTTCGATTCCGGTCAAGGACACATGCCCAGGTTGCGGGCTCAATCCCCAGTAGGGGGCGTGCAGGAGGCAGCCAATCAGTGATTCCCTCTCATCATTGATGTTTCTCTCTCTCTCTCTCTCTCTCTCTCTCTCGCTCTCTCTCTCTCTCTCTCTCTCTCCCTCTCCCTTCCTTTCTGAAATCAATAAAAAATATATTTTTTTAAAAGAAAGAAAGCAAAAGGAGTCTTTTTCAGTTCCAGGAGACTTTAGGGTTAATGTTGGGCAAGAGTTAATGTTGGGGCTAGGGTTTAGGGTTTGGGTTATACAAATATCCTCCTTCCCTCTGTGCGCCATGCTTGGGCACTTACTGTGTACCAGCGCTGGACAGTTAACATGGATGAAACATTCACTCTTCATCCCTGTGAAGGGGGTTCTGTCTGTCTAATCATCGCTGGCAGAGAGAGGGTTAATTCCTGGGGGGACCTGGGGTTCCAGGAGCACCCCCTCAAGGCTGCTGGGAGCAACAAGGGAGAAGACAGTGAAGCATTGGCCGTGCTGTGGAGGCCGTGAGCACTTGGCCGAGGGCAGTTCTTGTTGTTTTCCCCGAAGCGAAAGAGGTGCCGAGCCCCCCAAAGCAAACCCCGCTCTCCTCGGCCTGTCACTCCCCTCCCCCTCTCCTGCAGGCTGCCATGTTTCAGCCTCAATTCCAGTTTTATGATTAAACACCCCAGCGTCAATTATTTACAATACTTCCAGATGAATATCAGGGTTGCAGAGGCCTGAGTGAGTCACATGGGGGAAGCTGATATTTATGGAGGGGAAAGGACATGAAGGAAAATAAGGAACTCTACCTCCTGCCCACAGAGACCAAGGTCAGCCTCGAAAAGGCTTCCCGCAGCCAGGGCGTGGGTAGGGGGCTCTCCTTGGGCATGGGGGGATGGAGAGGTATGGGAGTTGGGGGGGACTGACGTCGTGCTAGCTCTGGAGCCAGACAAATCCAGCTTGAATCTTTGCTATGTCATTCACTGTGTGACTTTGAGCAGGTATCTTAACTTCTCTGAACTTCAGTTTCCTCATCTGTGAAAAGGAGGTTATTCTAGAAACTTTCTCATAAGGGTTCTTGGGAAATTTAAATGTGATATGAAATAATAAATTTAAAATATAATCCCATTAAATAAATCTTGGTAATAAGCATTAATCCACATATAGCAAATATGCTGATTTTCCAAATAAATAAAATTCTTAATGAGCCCTTGCCGGCTTGGCTCAGTGGATAGAGCATTGCGGCCTGTGGACTGAAGGGTCCTGGGTTCAATTCCAGCCAAGGGCACATGCCTGGGTTATGGGCTCGATCCCCAGTGGGGGGCATGCAGGAAGCAGCCGATAAATGCTTCTCTCTCATCATTGATATTTCTCTCTCTCTCTCTCTCTCTCTCTCTCTTTCTCTCTCCTCCCTTCCTCTCTGAAATCAATAAAGAAATAAAATAAATTATTAATGATCATAAATGCATGGAAAGCACAGTGCCTGGCCCTTGGTCAGCACTTAGGAGAAGGGTAAATGTTGTTGCTACCATTCCAAAATGAAAAAAGAATTGGGTGTGACAAGTGGCTTCCTAAACATTGGAAGCAGGAGGAGGCTGGGGCTCAAGAAAGCAGCTCTGGCTAAAATGCTTCAAGTAGAAATTGGAGGGAGAAGGGAGGGAGGGGGAGAGGGCAGGACGAGGTCAGCTGTGTGCCAACAGGGCTCCTGGCAGAAGGTTTGTGAGCCACTTCTATGGCGGCACCGTCGCCGTGGCTGGAAAAGAACATGTCCAGATATGGGCAGGATAAACTTTCTCCAACCGTGTGCTAATCTCCAGAATCAGGGCTGGCCGGCACAGGCCTGGGAACAGGGAGGGCTCTGCGCCCAGGAGCCAGCGGCCGCAGAGGTCCGCCGGTCATCTCCACACCCTCTAGCTTCGGTTAAACCTCCTCACCCAAGGACCACGTGTAAGCGTCCGGCTTGTTTTGTCCGAGGGCCGGGGAGCTGTCCTTCTGAGCCGTCGGGAAAGCGGGGTGCCTGTGGGTGCAGCCTGGGAACGCGTGCCTTTTATCCCAGTTTCATCCCGGCCAAGAGTGAGTGCAAACTTGGCTCAGGCGCAGGGCCCTGGGTTAAAGTGTAAACCGGGCAGAGGAGCGCGGCCCGCCCAGCCCCCCTCCACCCTGGCCACACGGGCATTGGGTGCAAAAGCGATTGGTTTGATCAGGATGAAGGAACTGGGCCCAACCAAACCCGCCATCGGGTAATCAGTCTGAGTGGGGCGGGCGCCCCGGGAAGGTGCAAACAGGAACGCTGCCTGCATTCATTTCCTGTAACCGCCAAGTCCGCACACGGTGGCTGAGTGCAACACACATTTATTCTCGTGCGGTTCCGGGGGTCGGGAGCCCACATACAGTCAGTTCCATGTCAGGACCAGTTCCTTCTGGGGGCTCCAGGGGCCCCGTACACCCCTCGGTTCACGGCCCCTCCTCTCGTCTCACCAGCCTCTTGCTTCTGTAATGTGTCGTACGTCCTCCTACCTCTTATGAAGACACTTAGAATAATAATCAGTGGACCCACCTGGATAACCCCAGCCACTCTGCCCATCTTGAGATCCTTCATTCATCGCATCTGAAAAGTCCCTTTTGCCCCGTAAAGTACCCGTCAGGATGCCAGGGACTAGGATCTGGATGGCTTTGGGAGCCATGACTCAGCCCACCACATTCTGAGAAACACAGGGTGGTGAGTGGCAAATATCTCTGAGCTGGCCCTCAGATTCTTCTTTGCCCCCAGTGTGAATGGCCTCGAATCAGCCCCTCACCCCGTCCCGGGCTCTTTAAGAACGGATGGGTGCTTTAGGAATGAAGGGGTGCTCGCCGCCCTCCACACGTCTGTCGTCAGCTGGCCCATTTAGAGCAGGCACCCGGCGATTCCCCTGAATGCATTCACTGACTGCTTTCAGCCTCCTGTCCCTGCCTCAGGGCCTTTGTGCAGGCTCCCTCCGCCTAGAATGCCCTTCTCCCAGGTTTCCGTATGGTTCCCTCCTCGCCTCCTGCAGGTCTTTGCTCAGACATCTTTGCTCGGTGGCTGTGTTTTCTGACCATCATATTTAAAATCACCACTTCCGGCACCGCCTCCCGCCTCCCCAGCACCATCATTTCCCTCCAGCTTGACCTTCTCTAGGATGTTTTCCAGGCTGGTTCTCGGTGAGCTCCGTGGGGACAGGCCTTCTCTCTGTTTGGGCCATTCTTCTCTCCCCAGCGTTAGAGCACGTGGCAGGTGGCAGGTGCTCAGTTAATACTCTGTTGAGTGAATGAATAAATGCCTGAATCTCAAAACTTTGACTTCGTTACGCGTAACAACCCAGTGAGGTAGATCCTGGTCCCGTTCCGCTCTGACAGATGAGCGACGGAGGCTGGAGGAGGTAGGAATGAAGTTGTCCCCGTAGCCATTCAGGGGCAGAGCTGGGCTGGGAATGCAGCCTCCTGCAAGGCGCCCACCCCGTGGGGGGCGGGTGGAGTCTGCCTGAATCTCAAAACTTTGACTTCGTTACGCGTAACAACCCAGTGAGGTAGATCCTGGTCCCGTTCCGCTCTGACAGATGAGCGACGGAGGCTGGAGGAGGTAGGAATGAAGTTGTCCCCGTAGCCATTCAGGGGCAGAGCTGGGCTGGGAATGCAGCCTCCTGCAAGGCGCCCACCCCGTGGGGGGCGGGTGGAGTCCGTGCTCAGATTTCAGCTCCCCCTCTGCCTTCTTCTACTTTTTGCTGCAAAATGCCTCCTGGGGAGGAGGGACCAAATGAGTCGAGTCGGTGTCCAGGCCTGCTGCCCAAGGACAGTGCCGTGTCCAGATGATGCCCAGGGCACAGGAGCCTGGCAAGCAGCCAATGCGCTGACCAGGTGCCTCCAGCCTCCAGCCTCGACTCCTGCCTCCCAGACTCTGGCCTGAGCCTCAGGCCTGGTCCTCTGGTCCCTAGAAAGTCCTAGTGCCCAGAGGGAGCCTCAGTGGCCTGATCATGTGGCCAAGCTTCGTTACAGGGGTTGGCCCTGCCCTGGTTTAGCTAAGCTTGTCCGGAAGGCTGGGGTTCTGTTGCCCCCGGGATGAGGAAGTTCCAAACAGGAGATTCTGTGCATAGGGCACCCCTTAGAAGCTGTGAGGCCTGGGGCAAGGTCCTCCACCTCTCTGCCCCATGTGTTCAGTGATAACACGGACAAAGGTGAGGCTGAAACAAGCTAACGTGTGCAAAGCACTCAGTGTGAGCCCAGCTCGCAGTTGGCGTCCAGGCGATAGTGGCAGGTATTTCTGTTCCCAGCACCCTGCAGGCTGGGCCAGAGGTCTGACCTCCCAGAGAGTAGGTGAACTCCTGTGGCGGTCAGGCCCCCTGTGGGGCGGTGATGGTGCAGCGTAGCTTCCGGCCTGAGGGACAGCGAGGTGACCGGAGCACCCACAGGTGCACGGAGACCGTGACCCCTGCCGTGGGCTCCTGGGTTTGAATCTGGACAAGCCCGTGAGAGCCTGAGGCCACCGTCCTGGGCCCGTTCCCTCCTCTCATGGAGGGGACAGGGGAGCAGCCAGGGAGTGGGTACTGGCTCAGGTTAGGGTCCAGCTCGGCACCTGGGCCCAGGAGGGGGCTGAATCTCACCCCCAGCTGGGCTGTGGCAGCTCAGAGCGGGGCAGAGTCCTTAGACAAGAGGCAGGACCCCGGGCAGCCGTGAGCCGAGTCGC